CTTATCACAGACAACAGCGTGTACACAGTACTGTCAACAGCGTGTACACAGTACAGTCAACAGCGTGTACACAGTACTATCAACAGCGTGTACACAGTACAGTCAACAGCGTGTACACAGTACTGTCAACAGCGTGTACACAGTACAGTCAACAGCGTGTACACAGTACAGTCAATAGCGTGTACACAGTACTGTCAACAGCGTGTACACAGTACAGTCAACAGCGTGTACACAGTACTATAAACAATAATACTCTGGCCACTTCATTTCAACATTTCTGCTCCTGGACCCCCACATGTTAGAGTGGGGATTCATGAGTGCTGAGCACCAGAAATTGCAATAACAGGTTTAACCCTCTTGTGTACGGCAGTATCTGGCCCGACCGGTCTCGAGGCATCCAACTCTATTGAGGGGGGCTTCCATGCTTAGACGCACTGTGCTCAACTAACTTGCACTCATCTTTTTAGAAAGACATTTTCTTAAAATATTTTATAGATTCTCCTGTTTTATTTCTTTAATTTTACTCTGTAGCACTTTGAGATTGTTAAAATATAAAGTGCAATACAAATAAAATTTATTATTATTATTATTATTATTATCATTACTTGTTCCACCTCTCCTGGGTCAGGACGTGTGTCCTGGGGCCCAATCCAGGCATCCAAACATAAGCAGGTCAGGGGGGATCCCTGTAGCCTCGTTCTTGGAACAAGTGAAAGCATGGACTACATGACTAAGGTGTTGACTTGCTTTCTGAGTGGGGATTAGAATTCCAAGCATGTTCAGCTGTGTCAACAACTGAAACTTTCTGGCTGGGAATCCCCCAAAGGATGATATGGGGATGCCCCTTATGTTTTTAGGCTTGGCACCCCTTTTTTCATTAATGGAAAGATGACTTTTTCAGAACGCACCAGCAACTCAGTTTTTTTTTTCCCTAGACAATACTTCAATATGAGTAGAAAGTGCAGCCAAGCGGCATCCTGACCGCCTTGCCCCATATACACTGCCTTGGCAAAAAAAGGAAGGTGTGCACTTTAAGATCTTGTTGGACTGCCTTTAGCTTTGATTATCGATTAAATGCGTAATGACATTGTTTCCACGAGATTATGCAACATCTCAATGTTTATTTTCATCCAAATTTGCATTAATTTCTCGCCGAGATCTTGTATTGACGACAAGTGAGTTTAACCGTACTCATACCGACGGCGTAAATCCCACACTGAGAACCACCTCCTTCCAGAAAGGGAGTGTAGTGCACCTTCAATTGTAAGCAGTGTACTTTTCAGGAATGGTAGGCTGCTTTAATGTGTGATAACCCACACACATGCTTTCTGGAAGGTGAGATAACACTCGCACCTTGTAACATCTGCAGGATTCCTCTTGCAGCAGTATTGCCTGCTGGCAGCCTCCCTGTCCCTCTCTGAGATGACCTTTCACCACAGATTCGGTTTTCTTGTTTCACACTTTTGGAACATCCCGTATCTCTCTCTCAGTCTGTGAGAACATTTCACCTCTTGCGAGCATCTTGGAGGACTTTCCACTCAGCTCTCAGTGGTGAATCACCAAAATCAAACTTCTCAGGAGATGAGTCACCATCATTTGAGTCCTTTATGCTCCAGGCCACCACATCTACTGAATACAAGAGGACTATTGGTGTTCCTGGTTTCCAAGTGACAGCCCATATAGAGGTATTTTGGGGTGATTCATGGAAAAAAAAAATGACCCCTTCCCTCCATTGTCATCAGCGATATCACTCGATATTGCTTTATTTTGCTTCCTTACAGGTACTCAGGCCTCACCAAGAAATCAATTAACCCAGCCATGTGGTTAATTCATAACTTTGTTTTTAGCATATCAAACAGCATCCCTCCTACCATCCTCAACTGTCTCCTGAGCCTGCACCTGCTTAAAAGCTTCTTTCACAGTAGGATGTATCTTGAACGTGCAAAGGAACCCCTTTTCCCTTTCCCTCTTGCATACCTGTTGCAGTCTAATCATTTTTATACTGGTATTCACAAGCATTGCCACAATATCCTCAATGGGCAGATCTGAGCAGGAAACTCTATTTGAATTTCAATGCAATCATCTTATGGATACTACCAGTCTGTAAATCCCCAGACCATTAATGGGAGGCAACAGCTTTGTGTTTCTGGCAGAATGCCCTATTTATTATAGTGACGCGTGAGCCATTGTCCAGCAAAGCTTAGACATAAATGCCTTCAGCCATTGCAGACACTGTTGAGGATGGACTGGTTTAATCTCCATGGCAGCCAAGCCCTGGAGTTAGTGGATTGGTCCTGAACACTGGTGGAGCAGGTTCGACTAAGGACTCCAGCTTTTTCATTGGCTGGGGTCCCTGCCCATTTCCCGACACTTTCCTTTCCTGAATCAGTTGACACTTTACCTTTCTCACGTCTTTGACATGGCAGTCATGGGAAAATGTCCCAACTTCCCTACACAGAAGGACTTTACCTTAACACCAGTGACTGACTGAATAGTGGCCCTTACATATACTCTGGCTTTCCATCTACCATCACAGTCACTAAACGACTGACCCGAGTTACTAATCCCGTGAGGTTTCTCTAGAGGTCACTCAACTCTTTTTTCCATTGATCTGAATAATGTTCAGGCTTCACTATAGAGACTCTCGAATTTGGCTTTACTCGCACACCCAGGCGGTCCTCATTCTCTCGTGTTTCCTTAAGCTACGCATATGCAGGCTGATTGCGGACGCTGTCCGTTACTTTCAAATTAATTGCTCTTATATAATTATGTATGGCCCCGCTCATTGTCTGATCCATATTCTTGCGGACTATTTTAATCAACTTTCAGTGCACCGTTTTGTCCAATCTCTGCGTATACATTTGGTCCCCATGGTCAAAATCGCCAGCTAAATCCAGTTACCAGGCTGCGCTTTTCAGGTTTTCTTCATATCATCAGATTCTTCTTGTCTTGTGACACATTATTTCACTAGTTTCTTGCTGGCATGTTTCAGCTATTCTGACCAGCTGAATAAATCCCCGGAAGTCTGCCCCTAGTGGCAGATCCATTATTCTACATTAAACAACAAGGGCCACTAGGCAAAACAAAAATGAGGAAATGCATGTTAGATAAGTAATAGCAGCCTAGACAAATCTTCAAAAATTCAAACGTGAATTCGAATTTTATTCTAATAACAAAGGTCGACCTCACTGGCCTTTGACCACAAGAAAAGACTAATAACGACTATCATAAAAACGTTGCGTATCATGGTCTGGGACATCTTTGACAGTAAGCAAACTTATCGTCAAGGAGTTATATGGTGGAAATGGGCAGGGGTTAAGATCTGAGCGACTTTGATATTGGCCAAGTCGGTATGGTCAGACAAATGGGTTAGAGTATCTCCAAAACAAGTTTAGATCTTTGTGTGACCTTGTGTGTATGTATGTGTCCCTGCCCACCCATCACAGGACCGAGATGAGCGCTACTTGATGCTGTTCCAAGGGCTCCTGATCATGCTGTCCAGCAGTTCCCGAATGAGTGGCTTCATCTACCAGGTGAGAATCCGCGGGACTCCTCAGGCTTCTCTCGCTCACACCTTGTGATACTAACGCTACGGTGTCCGGCTTCCAGGGAAGGTTACCACTGACTGCTTCAACTGTGATCAAGCCAGTAGAAGACTCCGAAAATGGCCATCATGCCTTCGAAGTGACAGGTCTGTTGCCCTACGAGTTGACGCTTCCTCGTTTGAGTATTAGAAGTATGTGTACTTGGAATGGGATTGTGTATCCACTCATCACTTATGGGGACACTGTGTACATCTTAAAATGCATTGATTGCACATTTTAGCAAGTGTGAGTATTTCATGCAAATGGTAAATGCCATCCGCCAATCATATTTTTGGCACATTTTTGAAGTCTGTTCTAAAATGAGTGATCTTACTATGTATATATGTTCAGGTTTTATTGAAATGTCAAAGAAATATTGGGAATGTCTCTCTGATGTCACTTGATGTAATGTGCAGTGAGGGAGATACTTGATGTAATGTGCAGTGAGGGAGATACTTGATGTAATGTGCAGTGAGGGAGACCCACACAGAGAGATTCTCATGTGCGTATGTGTGTCTGCTCCTGCCAACAGGCAGCTCCGGTGAGCGGATAACGTTTCTCTGCAGTAGCCATCAGGATTATCAGGAATGGCTTGAGCACCTGACCAAGGGAGGGAGTCCAGTGGGTACTGTCTGTAAGGTACGGCAGTTACATGGAGCAGGATGCTGACGTCTACATGGATGTGTAATATCAACATATTATTCCCTGGATTATCTTAAGGCGTATTCTAACAGGTCTGGATGCTGTTCAGCCAAATAGCTATTTCAATATTAGTCTAAATACTAGAACTCGTGGCCATAAGTGGAAATTAGCGGGAGAACATTTTAAAAAGAATTTGAGGAAGCACTTCTTTACACAGCGTGTAGTTAGAGTATGGAATAGTCTTCCTGCTAGTGTAGTGGAAGCTAAAACCATGGGTTCCTTTAAATCAGAGCTAGATAAGATTTTAACAACTCTGAGCTATTAGTTAAGTTCTCCCCAAACGAGCTCGATGGGCTGAATGGCCCCCTCTCGTTTGTACATTTCTTAGGTTCTTATGTATTGTATTGTTCACTGAAAATAATTTATGTGTTCAATTAATTCTTTAGTCCAAATTTAGTAATTTAGCATATCATATTTTATTTAATGCCTTCAGAAAGTATTCCCTTCTGTTGTGTTGGAAAGCTGTACTAAGACAAACCATGTGCATTACGCAACTTTGGCCTCTGGGAGAATTCCAAGCTGGATCCCTCTTCTGCCAAAGCCAACACCAAGTTATACCTAGACGTTTGTGGAAACCATTAGCTTGGTCTTGGAACTTTTGATGTATTTTTGACTTGCAAGCAGAGAATTATATTTGGAACAGGTCAGGCCTGACCCTCCCCTTCACTGGCACGACAGTGTCATACTGGGGGCTTGATCTGCATGCCAGGCCAAATGCACGCCATGCTGGTGGAAGCTTTTTTTTCATCATCAGGACCAAAGCAAACAGCAAACACTTCAAAGGAATTGTTTAAAAATATGAGCAGCATTCTGCAGTTGAAAGCCTGTGGTATGGCAGGTATTTCTGGGGTGGAGCAGATCTGCTTGGAAGAATGGTTGAAATTCCAAACTATAATTGTCTTAAGTTCATATTGAAAAAGCCTCAAAGACTAAGAATGGTATTGGCTGCCAAAAACCTCGCCACAAAGTATTGACCTGCGGGATGGAATTAATTCCTAAAAATTAGACATTGACGTCTTAAAAATAAATTGGCCTGAACCCACAGTACAACGTCATACTGATAAGCGGTCAACGTGTTTTCGGGAAACACGAAGGCTGTGTTGTAGGCCCTGAAGTATGTCCTTGTTTGTAGGCCTTTTGAAATGTCTGCAGACCCTGTCAGGTGAGCTTCTCTCTCAATCTTGCAGGACGGCCGGTCTGCTCACGGCGCCACAGCGCACCCGGCCTCCCCCCACGGCTTCGGCTCACCCCTCAGTAGCCGCGGACCCCTCGAGCCCCCGAAAATCGCCAAGCCCTGGTCCCTGAGCTGCTTACGGCCTGCACCCCCACTGAAGCCGTCTGCCGCGCTGAGTTACAAGGAAGTAGGTTGACATAGGTTTCTCCAAGCAGAATTTCCTGTCGGTGTATAGTTTATACAAAAAAAGAAACAGCACTGCAGTAGGGCATCTGCCTGGCTTCTCTGGATTCTCTGGGTTAAAGTTTTGCATACTTGCTCTACCCAGCGATCAGGCTCAGGTTTAATCACAGGCGGGTGCGGCGTGACAGGGCGGGCATTTGCCAGTCTGCTGTGGCATTAGATGTGTGGTGATCCAGAGTGGACTGTCTGTAAGCTGGAGTTCACAGCTATAAGCTACATAGCACTATGCAGTGCACCTTTCATACGCAGAATATATAAATTAGTCAGAAGATCATGTCTGATATTTGATTTAATAACAGTGTTGGAAATACCAAAATCTGCACTGTTCCTTCACGTGATTAAAAAAAAAACACAGTTACCCCCAACGCGTGCCAACCAGAACCACAGGGGGCGCCACTGCTTACAGCCTCCCGTGTTTCCTGATCGTCACTTCAACAACTTTTCCTTTGGTGTGTTAGGTATAAAACTACACATAGCTTTCCTTTTCCGCGGGATTTCGCTGCGTTCTGGGTCTCTCCCATAACAGAAAGTGCCATTCTTACCGGCAGAGTGACTCACCGAGTGTCACCTAAGCCGGCCGCCCAAAGCCAGCGTGTTCCGGAAGGACACTGAAATGATGTGTTTTGAGTTGAGTGCAGACTCGTATGGATTTGCTCATGCACCTTTTCTCTCTCTTCCCATCCTGCTCTCTGTAGAGGATGTCTTATATCCTGAAGGTAAGGCATGAGCTCTGTGTGTGCTTGCCTTTGCTCGAGTGCCATGTCACTCTCCCCAGTGTCCTGCTCTCTCTGCTCTCCCTCATCTTACCTGCTCCCTCAGTCCTTTTCCCTGTTGCTCTCTCCTTGTCATGTTTGTTTTATACTCTCCGTTTAAGGTGCACACGCATAAATAATGTGACGTGTCGCCCCTTGGAGAATCCAGAATATCAAGGTGAAATGACTTTCAGGCCTCACCCATTGGCATCGTCTAAATCCGTCTACATTTCCGTTGCCTCTCTGGAGGGCGATAAACGAGCTCNCCCCCCCCCCCCCCCCGCCGAGTTTTGTCTGAGTCGTGTTTGCTGTTTGTGTGCATCTCTTGTGTGCCTGCTGTCTCAGGTTACCTCTCTGCTCTGTGGATGGGGCTAAAATGGACTTGGGAAGGCGGTGATTCTGCTCGCTTCCCGGTCTTCCGTTGGACCGCGTGCACTGCCTGCTTTACTGGCTCCCGTAGCCAATCTCTAAAGCTTACGTTTGTATTAAAAGTGTAACGTCAATAACGTGAACATTTGTCTTGTTTCTGGGGGTTTTCCTTAAGATGATGGGTAGCTAATTCATGCAAAGAATAATATAAAATGATGACCTCCTTTGCAAAACAGAACGGCTGTGAGCCAGCCACATAGACACTGACAGTTATATGGCTCTTAAATTTCTCTATGTGACCTTAGAAAGTGGTGTTAGGAAAAAGACAATTAATTCATTCAATAAGTCCTTTTAAATAAATATTACCAATAGGGAGATTAAATCAAATCATTTTTGAATAATTGTTATTATTTCATTTATTACCTGACATGTTTAAATCTCTTCTTTCCTCTCAACCACTTCAAGCTTTTAATAATTGTGACACTGCGTTACAGCAGGTCATAAATATCACTTGACTTACTTACACTATCATTTGGTTTAAGTGGTTTAAGTGTTAAGGACCACAAGCATTGTAGTGTACAGGGTAATATGGCTGGTAGCAGCCATAAAAAAAGGTGTTAGATGCAGGTAGCACTTGGTTTCTCTCCAGGAGACCCTAACCCCCCCCCCCCCCACACACACACACACACACACACACATACAAACACACAGACAGCTCACAGCACCATCTCTCACTTCCACAGGACTCCAGCAAAAGCCCCAGACCCATTACGAAGTTTCTCCAGAAGAGAAAAACTGAGAGAAAACCATCAGATGATGAATTCCTGTTGAGGAAAAGTAAGTAGGAAAACTCCACAGCATGCATCTTCCCAGCAGAGGGGCAAGGTGCTGGGAGCCGTGCCGGGTCGCTTGGCGGCCGTGCCGGGTCGCTTGGCGGCCGTGCCGGGTCGCTTGGCGGCCGTGCCGGGTCCCATGCCGGCCGGGTCCCATGGCGGCCGTGCCGGGTCCCATGGCGGCCGTGCCGGGTCCCATGGCGGCCGTGCCGGGTCCCATGGTGGCCGTGCCGGGCCAGGCTGGGCCGCAGTGTTTGTATGGGATCGCCGACGTGTCTTTGAAAGCCACCTGTGTGTCAGTCAGCGCCGTTTGGTGTGGGAGGAGACAGACGCTGTTTGCTGATCCTTCGCAGTGGATGGTGTGACTAACGCTGCTGACATTTTCCACCGTTCCAAGACGCTGGCGCAGCGACTTTGAGAGCTTCTCTGTTCGAGAGGATTCCTCCTCACTCGCTGTTGCTCTGCTGTGTTTTGAAGGTACCGCGGCTCTGGAGGAGGACGCACAGATCCTGAAGGTCATCGAGGCGTACTGCACAGGGGCCGGCTTCCACCAGGCCACCACCGGTCAGCTCAGGCCCCTTTCCTGGACCAATTTGCATCACTCAGTTCCTCTTGTTCTCAGACATGCTGGTCGTGGCTGTGGCCAAGTGTTTAATCCCCTCCAAATCACCCATGAAGCTAATCCACGACGGGTGACCCAGGGCCTTGTGTACACAGCAGAGTATACACAACATAGTAATCACAGTATAGGATACACAACATAGTAATCACAGTATAGTATACACAACAATAGTATATGCAGCATAGTATACACAGTGTAGTAAATACAACATAGTATACACAGTGTAGTATACACAACATAGTATACAGAGTGTAGTAAATACAATAGAGTATACACAACATAGTATACACAGTGTAGTAAATACAACATAGTACACACAGTGTAGTAAATACAACATAGTATACACAGTGTAGTATACACAACATAGTATACACAGTGTAGTAAATACAATAGAGTATACACAACATAGTATAAATGGCATCGTGCTTCAGCAGAGGCTTTTGAAAAAAACATCAGCCACATGAAAGCTGAAGAGGAGAGCTTTGCAGCGTGCATCCGAGCCAGATTGCGCCGTGAACTGAGGCGTCATCACAATTGTGGTTGTAATGTTGGCCGGAAGCTCAGTTAACAAAAAAGATGTTTGTTTGTTAGCTGCAACGTTTTTGTGTGAGATTTTTTTTACTGTTGGAATCTGCATCCTCCTCATAGCTTCTTGGTCTTTTAACATTTGTACGAATAAATTCATGAAGACAGAATCCAGTGGTATCATTAAGCTTCACAGATACACCCTATACCTCGTATCTGTGTCTATAACGTGGCCCTCATTCACACTCCCACACATGTCAGCTAAACACGCATAGAGTCTCATGCCAGACTCCATTTATGTTTTATATATGAATATCAGTCTTATTAATAACTTTGTTTTGAAGACTTGTGCGTGTGTTTCATTCAATGTGGAGGTTTTTCTTGATTTCTGTATTTTAGCCTTTTACTAATTAGTGTTTCTGGGCTAAGTCTGTTACTAACTGTGCCACTTAATAGCACAAAAACAGAACTAAGTCATTTGCAAGGGGCTTCTCTGGGCCTCTGACCTTTATCGTGTAGATGAAGCTGCTCAGCACTGCTGTCGCTCTGCAGGTGCTCGGAGGGAGTGCGTCCCTCAGGTGCTCCTGCCTGAGGAGGAGAAGATCATCGTGGAGGAGTTGAGGAGCAACGGACAGATGACGGTGGAGGAGAAGTATGACCGGAGAGGGATTGTGTCCTGAAGCCTGATTTATGGTTATTGGTTATGGTTATGGCTGTATGCAGAGCTCATGCCATGACCTAAACAAGTGGCTTATGTCGGTGCAAACATCGCCATTTTTGCATGGTCTGCGTTGCTGCAACATGTCGTTACATATCTGGGGAGGCACGTGTCAGGCCACGCCGTAGGGTACCCGGCCACGCCGTAGGGTACCCAGCCACGCCGTAGGGTACCCGGCCACGCCTACCAACATCATACCAACACAGCCATATATCAGGCTTTATTCTATTCTGTTGGGGTTACAATCAGGAGCTTCTTCCACCTCTTTCCCAAAAGGAAATCCCTAAACAAGTTGTCTTTTGCAGGAGTCTCGTTGATGCCGTTTACGCATTAAAGGATGAGGTCCTTGAATTAAAGAAGGTAATGCAATTGCATAAAATACTTTGTGTGCATATAAGCATAAAAATCCGTACGGAACTCAATGAGAATTGTACTCGTATGGTTTGGTTTTCTGCTCATGATGAACATCATGCTGTGGTTTGCCTGCTGCAGAGGGCCAGGAGACGGTGTTTGCAAAAGTATGATCTGCGTCTGATGCTGGTTCGTTCCCTCAGGAGAATAAACAGATGAAGCAGTATCTGGAAGAGGAGCAAAAGTCACGTAGAGAGCTGGAGAGGATGGTCAGGAAGCTAGCGAAACAAAAGAACGACTCTGCGTGGGAGGACGGCGGCCATTAAGCGTCGAGCTCCAGGTTTCTGAAAACCGCCGGCGGCTTCCCTGCGGCGCCAACATGTCAGCCGCTGACGGACCCTTCAGGACAACCTGGACAGAAACACATTTCACATGGACCGTTTCTGTTCCTTAAGCAATTAATTAGAGATCGCATGAGATGAGAGCTAGGGATTAATTGGGCAGTGGTGACAATTTGTGAGAGATGACAGAAAGGTAGACGCCACCAGAAATGTAAGGAAACGTGCCGTGAGATGGCAGGACCACCTGCACATGTTATCTCAATGAAGTGAAGTGATTGTTTTTCGATGGACACTGTTTTTGGGTTTTCTGGAATGTCCTAAGTATCATGAGCTACTCTCTACAAAGGAGAACATTGAGGCAGAGTAATTGGAAATGAAAAGTGGCCTCATGAGCTGGTCTGTAATACCATGAAAACTGTGAATGGCCTGTCAGACTACTCAGTTTTAAAGTACACATGAAACAAGAAGTCATCTGAGACTCCCGGTCCTCTTGGCGTGTGTTCAGTATTTTGTTACTAGATGACTAATTTGGTTGATCTTGGATGTGGTGAGAAAGTGTACGAATTGTATTACTATTTTATTTTTGTAAACCAAGCGTGCATTTCAGACGTACAGCTACGCTTCAGCTGTATTGCAAAACTGTTTGCTAAGGCTGTAGATTTTAACGTGTTTTCAATTTTCACGTTTCTTTTATTCCGTGCGGCTCCCATAGTCCTGACACATATTAGTAAGGACACAGTATTTCATGTTTGTGCATCGAGGAAATCGGTCTGAAATAATAGCAATGAAATAATTTACATGTCACTGTTTATATTCAGTGAATATCTGAACTGTTGCCCCATGCCCTTCTTATTAGACGTATGATCTGAGTAATTCATTTTTTAATATCTTATATATTACATTTATAGACACTGGCAAATGTACTTTCATATGCAAAATGATTCATACTCTGAGGGGAAATATATAATTATATTGCTTATTTATTTTTCATTAAAATATTACAAAGTGTATATTTCGTACTGGAAGAAACTCTTCAGTTGAAGGTTTTTGGCCTGTGTGAATTCCTGTCCGTAATCTTTCGTTTGATGTTTATTTGCGCAGACATTCAGAATATGCACTTTATCAAGCAATTTATCAAGCATTCGCACCAGTGAAATTAAGGTAAAGGAATTAGAACATCAATGGCATTTTGGAACTAAAGATGAACATTTTATTTTGTGTTTTTTTTCCTTATGTATTTGGTAGAACAAACTGGTGGTTTGTGTTTTTTGTTTTCTTTTCTTTTGTTTTTGTTTTTACCTGATCACAGAAAGCTTCACAAATCAGACCTAAACACTGAATTCAAGGGTCCAGCCAGGGGTCCTTTCTGTGGTCAAATACAGGACAGATGTTGAGCAGCTGTACCAACCACAGAGCGATGTCATTGTATTTAGGAAATGGGCGGGCAGTTAACCTTTGACCTGAGAAGGCGTGGTCCATTCTCGCACAAGTACGGGTTCGACGCATGCTGTGAAAAGTAACCAAAAACCATCCCCGCTGTGAATCTCTTTAGGTTGCAAGAAAAGCTGAAATTGCTATGATTTAGCGCAATAAATTGGTTACATTGATTTTTCTGTTGATTTGGTATGTGGTTATTTGCGGGACAAAAACAGCATTGTGTGTGGAGGCCCCAGATATACAGTTGCTGATGTCACTCTGATGAACCTTTAAGGCACCAGTCCCAAAGTAAGGATGCAGCCCTTTGAGAATCGGCCTGTATGCTGTAACGATATTAACTCTTCCACTCTGCTTAAATGGAATTTCTGAGTTTTCCTCTCAAGCTTGGATTGACGGCAAATGTATGACTCACTGATGTATATTTAATCTATTATACCTTTCAATAGCCATCATTACATTTGTAATAAAAGTAAAGCATTGCTTGCAAATGCCTGTTGATGTCTATAGAAAACTTCCCTCTCAGGAGTTTTTTTTTTTCTTTTTTTTTTTTTTTTCCTCTTCCTGGCCTGTTGCATAATTTTTGGAAACTCTTCTCCGAATCAGCTGTACTGTAATAGAGTCTAATTCCTAACACTTTCATTCACCTTTTACCTGTTATATTTTATCATCTCTTCTAAGAAGAGCGATATGCTATGTTTGGGGAATTCAGAGTATTTTATGCCGGAAGCTACCTCTCTAGCAAGTGTTTTAATCACAGCCAAACGCTCAGTCTCAGATTATTTAATTTAATTTTTAAACAGCTGCTGAAGCTGGCAGAGGGAAGAGCCGTCGTGGTTGTAAAGGAAAACTTCCAGCTGGCTGTCGCCATTAGCGAAAGGTGCCTTTCGTCGGTGCCGCTGCGCGGAGCGTGGATACGGGGCAGGAACCCGTGTCACTGATAGACACATCCTGTGCGCGAGAGGCGGCACGCTTTCTCAGAGATGGCCACGCTCTGGGTGTTCGTGTGGCAAAGTCACAGTTTCCGCGTGGGAGGACATGCAGCGTTCCAGGAGCCTGTGCCCCCCCCCACTCACGGCGACACACGAAACGCGTGTGGCCCCCGGATAACACCCAAGATTCATCATTTACCTTCCGATGACATTTTCCTGGAGCAAGTCTCTCACTATCTTGGTAATCAGCAATCGATGAAGTAAAATTGCTGCAGCTATTGCATTCATCCGACGCTGCTTGCATTCGCCTACCAAAACCAGAAATGCAGAATGTCATCCAAACGTCTTATTTGTCTGCACGACGGCTCAGCGTGTAGCCTCTGTTCCAGCTCTCTGTCTGACAGTATCGCCTGGGTGTTTCCCGCCCCTAAGTGATGGCGTTAGGGTCAGTTGGTAACTGAGTAGTAGTGGCAGTGCCCTGCCTGTCCATGCTCTGCAGATTGTATAGAGCAGTGTTTCCCAATCCAGTCCTCGGGGAATCCCGGACAGTCCATGTTTTTGCTCCCTCCCAGCCAATCAGGAACACAGAATACCTGGTACAGGTGCACTGGGAGCTGAGAGGAAGCAAAAACTTTGCCAGGTACCGGCAGGCCGAGCAGAATGAGACTCTGGCAGGTACCGGCAGGCCGAGCAGAATGAGACCCTGGCAGGTACCGGCAGGCCGAGCAGAATGACACCCTGGCAGGTACCGGCAGGCCGAGCAGAATGAGACTCTGGCAGGTACCGGCAGGCCGAGCAGAAAGAGACCCTGGCAGGTACCGGCAGGCCGAGCANCTGGCAGGTACCGGCAGGCCGAGCAGAAAGAGACCCTGGCAGGTACCGGCAGGCCGAGCAAAATGAGACTCTGGCAGGTACCGGCAGGCCAAGCAGAATGAGAGCCTGGCAGGTACCGGCAGGCCGAGCAGAATGAGACCCTGGCAGGTACCGGCAGGCCGAGCAGAATGAGAATCTGGCAGATACCGGCAGGCCGAGCAGAATGAGACTCTGACAGGTACCAGCAGGCCGAGCAGAATGAGACTCTGGCAGGTACCGGCAGGCCAAGCAGAATGAGAGCCTGGCAGGTACCGGCAGGCCGAGCAGAAAGAGTCTCTGGCAGGTACCGGCAGGCCGAGCAGAATGAGATTCTGGCAGGTACCGGCAGGCCGAGCAGAATGAGTCTCTGGCAGGTACCGGCAGGCCGAGCAGAATGAGAATCTGGCAGGTACCGGCAGGCCGAGCAGAATGAGACTCTGGCAGGTACCGGCAGGCCGAGCAGAATGAGACTCTGGCAGGTGCGGAAGCGAGAACTGGGAGGAGTTTGGTGAGGCCATAGAAAATGACTTTGAATCAGCCTCAAAGAGATTCTGGAAAACCGCCAGGCACTTTTGGGGGGAAGCAGCACTTCATCCATGCTGTTAACTGCAGGAATGGACTGCAGCTGGAGGGAGCACTTTGAGAACTTCCTGAATCGCACTGACAAGATTCAAGAGATTCAAGATTCAATTCGTCACATACACAGTTGTGCACATACAACATGTAGTGAAATGTAACCCTGGTCACTCCGAGCAGCTGTGCATGATAAGAGAGTAATATAATATGAACAATATAAAATAAAAATATATGAAATATATTCAGCTGTACATATTCTATAGATAAGTGACACGGCCAAAGTGATCGTGCTGTTCAATATAAGCGCAAAAGACTCTGACTGCATTCTAGACTCTATTTGGGGGGACTTCAACCCCCCCCTAAAAATTATTTTAACAAAACCATTTAGCAATTTCCAGCCGTCCATACGTTTCTATACCCACCTGTCCTGTTCAGGGTTCAGGGTCAAAAAACTCTGAATGTTGTTGGGCTGTCTTGGTTGACACCTCTTCAAAATAATTTGGAGAATATATCTCAATCTTGATGTTCCCCTGGTGATGCTGGAGGAGGTGGCTGGTGAGAAGGAGGTCTGGCCTCCCTGCTTAGACTGCTCCCCCCGCAACCCGACCCCGGAGGAGCGGCAGAAAATGGATGGATAGTTTATGATTATTGCCTTCTCTTTTCACTGCATAATGTTTACTTCCTGCCTAGAATGTTTCACCTGGTAATGTGTGAGACGCAATTGTCATCATTATTAAAGGAACATTTGAAGGCTGCGAGACTATTCATAATTAAAAGAAAAGGTGAAGATAATCATCTCGTTCTTAAAACAGAAACTCGAAAGAGGAGTAACTTAGGTGTTAGTTTCTGAGACATGTCTGCGTCTTTAGCTCAAAAGTTGAATGTGCAGTACAGTACATAGTATAGAACACCAAGCATCTGTGTCAAAATGATAGATTTGTAGCATGAATCTGATTGGCTTGCGTGCCTATAGTTTGTTTCTTGTATTCAGAATTCTAAATCTGAATTCCTTTTATATGGAGTCCTTCCCAGCTTAGTTACCAAGAAACATTTAGCAACAAGGACACAGTTTCAGCTGCATGTTATTGCCTATTTTTATCGATTTTAAGCAAATGACAACAAACAGTATGACTTTGAATTTTAAGCAAATTTAAAACAGTAAAAGAAATTATATGCATGTACACATTAGTAGTTGAATACAACATGAAAATGAACATGCCCTCTACATATCTAAACCTACAGAATAAGAACTAATTAATTTTTTTTAAATGATGATGGAAAAACAAACAAAAAAATCTTTTATATATATATATATTATTTTTAAGTTATACTACTATAAGTAGAGAAGTTAGATTGCAAAACAGAAGAAAAATGGTAAAACTGTTTATTTCCTTCCACCCCCTTAACTAAGAAGTTACACGAAAATAAAATGATATATGTAGGCAGTTGCCATCTAACTGCAGCATGCAAGATCTTACACCTTCAGCAAGCCATTCCAGTTGAAATGTGTGTTTTTGCTTAGTTAGCTCTGCAGTGCTGTTTTTTTTTGTTGTGGCCAGAGTCATTTTGTTGCACATGTTGTGTGTCAGTGGCTACACTTCATCTGCATCTCGAAAGAGTTTTAGCTTCCTCCTAGCTAAAAAAAAAAGCTAAAAAAAGAAAAAAAAAGTCAATTCCAAGAACGCGACAGGAAAATCATGATAGAAGCTGCAAGACTGCGTGTAGTAAAAGTGCACAGTGCACCGTGCAAGGTCTCAGGAACACGTTTGGCTCAAAAAGGGGTGGGAGAGTATCTAAGCCCCACTTGGCAGCCGTCGCGCAGCTAGCGTTAGCTTTACCGCTAATCACTTTCGCCTGCAGGCGGTGCCTATCGTTTGGATGCCCCTCAGTCTGTGAGAGCAGCGGCCTAAATAACCGCCTTTGAGACAGAATGAGGCCTGGCAACTGGGCACTGCCACGACTTCCCCGCTTTACGTTTCTTCATGTGTTCCGGCTTGGGTTTTTTTAGCTGCAGATGCTATGAATCATCACTTTTTTCGTATAAAGGAGGACATTTTAATGCTGTAAGAAAAAAAAAAAAAGGTACAGATGACAAGTGTGACATTTTCCATTTGAATATTGGAGAGTGCTGCACCCCAAACCACAGCAGAGAGCTGTGTAGTCAGGCGTGTCAGTGGTATGTACATGGAAACCTGTAGTACGCTACAGAACGTTGAGGTAAGGTGGAGTCCTCAGTGGGGGATTTTGGGGGATGCTGGTACTTTTCACACCAACCAACAGTAACCTCAGGCCCTGAGTTCCAGGTGTTCATAATGTATTTTTGAATATCTCGTTTTGGGGCTGCAACTGGTTACTTAACGTTTTTGGGCTGCCCGCTTTCGTAAGGTTCGGGGGGTCGCAGCATGATACTCATCCCATTGCGAGCACTTGATTTTCAGAGCGGCGCTCCTATGCTGGAAGGTCTTGTGTAAGGGAGGTACGCTGGTCAGTGGCATCAACTATATGCCCACTGCTGTGGAACTCTGCGTCATGGTGAGCTGGTGATAAATTCATCCCATGAAGTCAAAATGAATACCCAGAATTCCACAGGCCATCGCAGAACTGAACATGTGCGGACTGCTAGATCTACGCCTATTCTGTGGTGTTTAGCATGTTTTGTACCACAACTGCTTTTGTACAACAGCTGTTGCTATTATTCAAATTACTGTTGTTGTTGACAGTTTCTCAAATCAGTTTCCATGACTCCATAAGTTTTAATATAGCCGTTTATAGAACGTTCTTCTCAGGAGTATGACAGTATGGTTCCATTGGGTTCATATGTTTACATACATATTTCACACACATTTTTATTGTATTTTTAATATTTTCATATATACCAATAAGATTAAAATGTTGCATTTAATTGTACACAAAATTACATTTCTTTAATATAAATACATTCATTTAGCAAACACTCTTTTAATTATTCCCTCGTTTATAAATATTGACCACATTCACTGACACATACAAGCATGTAAAATAGCAATAAATTAAGCAATAGACAAACAGAGGACCGAACCTGAGAACAGATAAGCTTCTTTTGAAATGGATCTTTTAACAGTTTGTCATGATTTTTTTCCCTAGGCAAGTGGGCTAGAGTTCGTGTGGTTTGTACTCGAATTTCGTCTAAACAACTCATCTCGGGGGAGGGGGCCCGCTTTATGTGCAGCCCAGAGTTAATCTGCATACAATACTATATCAAGGCCTCGATACTAACTGCACTCATGTGTAGTAAATACAGCTTCAAAATTAGCTTTAAAAAGTGCTTTTAAATGAGCTGGAAATGCTCGCTCTCCTCACTGATTACCCTGACAACAAAATAGTCAGGTTGTAAATGAAATTAAGTTTAAAAAGACCCACGTACTGTATTTCCTCAAAACTGTGATGGAGTAAAGTGTCCTGTGGACCTATCAAAATTTCTAAAGGGCACTGAGTGCCTCTTTGCTGCCATACCTTGTTTGAAGGTATTGCAAATGGTCAGAACTGAAAGCTATTTCTGTCTACAGTCACCTTGGCATTATCGACTGCTCCATCTTAACAGAACCTGTCCTGTAAATGTCATGCAATACTATGGGCAGCCTCCTCGCTGCAAATGGACAGCCCCTCTGACGTAGTCATAATTTTTGAAAGACAATATCATTTCTAGCTTAGGTGTTCCAGCTTCTTCTGTACAGTACATTCACTGGAAGGTGTGGTGACAAGAAACAAAAGGCAACGTGAATCAATACACACCAGCTCAAGTCTTAAAGATAAAATCTGATCTGTAGTGCTATGACTTAAATACAAAAGTAAACTCCACTAAGGGTCAGTACATTTTTTGCTTCCTGCATCTCCACTTTAAAGGAATGCATCTAGACCTAGTAACTGATGTTCTACAGGTCCAGTCTAACAGCTCTGGATTTTTTTTTTGGGTCGTCTTCCAGGGCAAAGCTTCAGATCGCCTGCTATATTAGTATCATCCACGTGGTTGCACAGAATCAGTGATTTCAGACCCGTTAAGGCATCTGTAGTAACTGGAATAATCCGAACGTGGTGGCAGTCCCATCGAAATGAACGAGGTCCTTGTCTGTGACGTTGACGGAAACCTTCTGTCCACTCTCCAGTTTGAAAACCCCTCCTTGGAAAGATGTACACTGTTCCACACTGCTCTTGTAGCAGAAGGCTTTCATCAGGAGATTTCCTTCTTCCTTGCCAGAAGTACCACTCCAGTGCATTACAGTCTGGACCAAGGGAGTTTTGGGGTGTGTCTTTGAGAAAGTAACTTGTGAGTAGATGTAGTAGTATCCTGACAGACCAATCTGCAGCATACCACGTCCATACAGGTGGACCACATCCCTCACAATGGATTCCTTCTGGTCCCATTGCAGTTCCTTCACTGTTGGCAAAGAACATTGCAAAAGGCATGAGTGGATCACTGCTCATAGAAGCAGGACTGACAACTAACCGGTAAATTGCACAGCAGCAGTGACTGTGAGAAGATGCCCTGTCTTCTTCCCAGACTCTACAGGATTCACCTCCTTCTCAACATCTGTCAGAGATGATAATTTCCCTCATGTTTTATGGGCGATGCCATTGACGGCGTCTGAGAGCCATGAACCGTGAGCTGAGAGATTCTGCATTATCGGCACTGAGGATGAACGGATTCACTCACATGCTGATCGTGGAGAGGAATCCTGGGAGGGCTTCTCAGCCTTCATGTGGGCCATGACTCTCAGTGCGCTAAACTGGCCGTCTCTGGAGTGAACTTCCCCTAAAGTGACAAGGTCACAGGTCAGGGCCGACAGGTCAGGGCACGCAGATTCATACCGCAGCATGACAGTTACAGAACCACGGGAAGTGACTATCAATAAAGACAGATAAACGAGCTACTATATATATTAATACACACACACATATGCATGTTTGTAATCATATCTTTGCAGGGACTGTCCACTCATATCAATGGGCAAAACCCTAATCCCAACAATGATAACCTTAACCATATGTAACCAAACAAAATACTAGACTTTTGGCATTTTTAGGTTTTTGATTGCAGTCACACATTTTTATAAAATTGAGTTTCCTCTTGTGGGGACCAAAAAATGGTTCCCACAACATCAAAATAACAGGCTTTTAATCACATTGTGGGGACATTTGGTAATATATACATAACCCCCAGGCGCACACACATTATATAATATTCTTATAAAGAGAATATAATTCTTTATTTCTCGTTCTTATACAGATTCATTGAATACATACCTTCTCCTTCAGTCTGTGAAATCTTAAAGTAAAAAGAAAAAATATATTAGTAATTTAGACTGAAACAATAATTGTGTTTTACATTTAAGGCCTTGATTATTTTTCTTAAGGTATTATAGAACGTATAATGTATAACAGTGATTGGGTTGGCCAGTGACAGCTGTAGTGTTGCAGTGAGTGGATGAGGGTCGCAGTGCTGTGGACTCAGTCTGACCTTCAGACAATCCAGCACTGACTGATGTCCCAAGCTGTCTTTGCCACAATCCTGCAGCATCTTCATCGCTACGGCCTCTTCTCGCATCTGGCAGTGAAGGCAAGGAAATGTCACGCCGCTTCATATCATGAGAATGCTGACACAGGCTCCATATCGCCATCGCTAACTTCATTTCGGGCTGTCTGGTTCACCAGCATGATAATGTGCACCCGCTTCATTTAGCCGCAGGTCAAGCGTGCTCATATTATTACCGTCTGATAGATTATCGATGATTACAGAGCCTGTAGATTGTAACGTCGACCTTAAGTCCTGAAAGCCTGTAAAACGTTCACATGTCCCTTACTTCATATTGGATAACCCCCGACAAACCAGCATAGATTTAAATTTTCGAAATCAAAGAAGTAAAATTGTCCATGTAGTCTTACACATTCTATTGCAGGAGCAACACCCAAGTAATACTGGATATACATTAGATTCGCTTCTCCTGACAACCAGCAACTGTTGACACATAGATGATAATCGAGCAATGAATGTTTTATGTTTGTATAACTATTTACAGCCTGTTTCGAGAACAAATTATTAGGTATATCTGATTTACACAGTCTGTATTTCAGACAGAACCCAGGACCGGCACCGACTGCTTACATCTCCTGCTCTGTTGTTGCTCCAGAAGTAGATGAACATTCCTAAAGTCACCAAAAAGTGGAGAAAGATGAGAGCGGTGAGGCCCCTGATTTGCCACTTGGAGTGGCCTGTCCCCGGCCGGGGCTCCGGGCGGTTCCCACGTGGCGGCACAGGTGGAGGCGAAGGCAGGCTGTTGTTGTACGTGTTGATCATGATGGTAGAGAAAAGCGTAGATGTGGCAGGCTGGGTGCGCCGTACGCCTCTGAAGGTCTCCCTCGCCTCGCTGCGAGTATGAGCACAGATATACTTCCTTTGTCGTCTCCTCTCCACCTGACGTCACTCTCACCATTGACTGGATGTAGACAGTCTTTCCTTGGGTTCTTTCCATATATCATCAAAGTTAAAAAGTAAAATGAGACCTCAGCACATTTGGCTCCAAAAGCTATCAGAGGAACCATGGTTACCGAAAAACACGCTGAAACCATCTTCACGGTCATGCTGCTGCCATTTTCATAGGCCTACTTGGTTGATGTTACTTAATTTATGCAAATTACTTATTTATTTACAAAACTACTTTTGTCAGAGCCGGCTCGCCCTACAGGAGACAAGAGTCACAGTCACAGAGTACTCAACCGGTTTGTTGAACCTAAACCTTGGTCTGGATTTGTAGTTTCTGGACCGGAACTCTCCAACTCTGGAAGACATAAGCAATATTGTCTCTGGCGTTTGGCCTTTATAACACACTTATAACACATTATAACGCTGAACTTGGAGAATAAGACCGATCTGTGTGCCTGGTCCGACCCGTAATTTTACTGCGCCGCTACATTCCTTATCTGTGCCACGTAATGTAAGAATAGTTAGTTAGCATGTTGTCAATGACACCCCTGCCATAAGCTAAATCAGGGGTGGCCAATCTTATCCGCAAAGGGCCGGTGTGTATGCAGGTTTTTGGGATAAGCTGTAGGTCAGCTGTTCAAACCCAGGTGTGAGGACTCTTCAGCCAATCAGTCCTCTAATTAGTAATCTAATTTGAGTTTCAGCGAATACCCGCATACACACCGGCCCTTTGCGGATAAGATTGGCAACCCCTGAGCTAAATTATGGGTGAAAAAATGTCTGAACATAAAATTTGTGGTTGGGTACTAATACTGAGGGTGCTGTAGTTAACTCATACAGTATACATATAGTTCAGGTAGGAAATTAGTTACTTTTATTTGGGGGAAAATCTTATGCCTACTGTACAAAACAGAAAAAATGTAATGTAGTTTGATTGTTTGTTTGTTTGTTTTATTTTTGGGTCCACAGAGCTCATCAAGTAAAAGCGATCTGCAGTTAATTCTTGGAATAGTGCATTTTCTAAGCATGGTTGCATAAAGTAAATGCTTTTTACATTTAGTCCTTTGCGTAAAGTAAATGCAAAGGCATCGGAGATTAAGCTAACGGGGACAATAACAGAATATAACTGAGTCAGGAATTCGTGAGAATTTCGGCTCCGCGTCGCCGTTAGTGCCACGCTTGCCCACGCCTTTCACGCAGAAGTCCGAAAGCACTGCGTGGCTCGAAAAGCCGCCCAGTCATGCGTCACCCTGCTAGAAAGGCAGCGTGCATGGGATGGATGGATGGACATCGTACATGTTCAAGATCAGGCTTTTGCTTCCATAAGCGTGTCAGTAGGCAAAGTGCTTCAACATTTTCCAGCTGGAAAACTTAACAGCCCACAGTACGAGTGACATGCAAGTTCCTTTGGTTCTTCGACCTGGGGTCAAAATTTAAGCATATAAACAACTTTGTTTCCTTAGAAAGTGTCTTTGTAGTTCCTCAAGGGGAACTATTACTCTTAGGAAAGCCTTGTGAACTTCGACACGAAGCACTGCTATTCCTCTTCTCTTGCAAGCTGCAGAAATTGCGAAAATCTGTTTTTTAGAAATCGTTGACTTGTAGTCTTCTCTTCTCTTTCTTGGTCTTTTTGGAAGTCCACTTCTTTTGGGAGAAAGTATGACTCTGCTTCCTTGCATGTCGGCATTTTGATGTGAAACCACTGCTAGTTAACGCCTTTGTAGAAATGGCACATTTATTATAACTAGTTAGGTCGTCAGTAAACTGCACCTCTCGTTCTTGGTTTTCACTACCACCTACTGACTACGAATTCACATGAGGGAAGTAGTTATCTGAAGACCACACTGTGGTTATGTTTAGTTAGTGGGCTGGTTGTGGTATGACACAAAAAACTGTAACTGCTTGCAGGTGTAATGCTTCTAATAACTAGCGTATTAAATATTAAACCCATCTATCAGTGTCAGAAGTAAAACATCGACTAATAAAAACACTGGAGTTCTGCGTGCTGTCCTGTGCATTCCAGTGAGAATATTATTACTGAGTCTAATATTAGAATTTCACATATATTGTTTCCAAAATTCATTTATGGTTTGCTTCCAGATCCCGAATTAAGTCTAACCTACATTTCATCTGATGTGCATGGAAATACGTCAAAACATAAAGGTGTTACGTAAATCAGTTCAGGCCTAATGTTTCCAAATTGTTTTGTAGATCCATGTGTATGAAAGTGTAGGAAATAATATGTCAGAAATGACCTCGGGTGAGTTCCCCGAAGCCTTAACGCTACGTCATTCTTAAGTTCTGCGTTAAAAGATAGAATTTACGAATGACGTACAGTTAAGGCTTCGGGAAACTCACCCCTGATCTCTGGACCACTTCTCTGGTATAAATAATTATTTCAGCCCTAAATAAACGTTGTGTTTTGCTTTGCCACAGATTATAATGAAAACAGTACGTGCTGTAGAACTTCTATTGAGGTTTTCTTCTCGGAGTAACTGGGGTACAGTGCCAGCATCATGGTCATCTGGCGCGATGTTACCAACCATGGCGCAAGGCGATTAGGGAGGACGAGCTATTGAAGAACGGCGACTTCAGCGCTATGAAGTCCACATCAGCACCACAGCCTGCGAATCTCCACGAGCTTCTCACACCGCGACCAAAGCCGATTCTGCCTGTACTAGAAATTCAACTAGCTGCACAATTAATTGAAAATACCATTTTCTTTTATAGAGGACAGGCTTCAATCTGCAATAAGAACAAATGTACCATCTGCTGGAAATACTTGGTACTGCAATGAACACACCAGCTTTTCAAAAGCATAGCAAGGCCAACCAACAGAACAATGCATCATTTAATTTGTACTGTTCCTCATACCGTACATTGCAAAACACAGTCTGTGAAATAAGCCAAGTTTCATCATATTACAGTGAAATATTGTGCCTGGGAGAGTCTCAGTCATGCACAGATGTGTTACACAAGGCTACTAGGATGTAATTTCCCTTCGTTTGACACGCGTGCATAAGTCTCTTAACAGGCATGACCAGCTGCAAATAAAAACTTATTCACTGCAAGGGAGCATGTGGATAGTGATCCATTAAGTAGTTGGTGATTTCAAATGATCCCTCACACATGCAAAAGTGCTTATGGTCTGTTTTCCATATGACGTGGCTTTGTAGACTGACTGAGATGCCACTTGATGTTGACAGGACCCCACGCCTCTCTGGGCAGCCCACATGAAGGCTGTTGGAGACCTTGTTGGGTCTTCATCTTGTGTGGCCTTCATCACTGGTTTAGCTGCACTGCTGCACTCCTCACAGTTCACACATAGGAGATGGCAGGAGCAAAAGGACTACCTAGTGGGGAGGGCATGCAGGGTGGACTGTGAGGGGCCTTCTTCCGGCTGTATGGATGGACTGAGTCTCAGCCGTACACCACAGGAAGGCCACAAAACAACTGTAAACCTGGCATAGCAACTGCACTTTCTATGCAAGATATGCTGCAGGGTGTGCCAAGTGGAAAATGTCATGAGTCATGCTATGGGTGGTATTGAGGTTTAAGCCTAATGGTACTTCAGGTACTCCGTAGTGCATAATTGTGTGTATATGTGTGTGTCACAACCTCATGCCCTGTGTAGCCTTGGAGAGACTTCTGGCTGCCCTAGGACCTTTGCGTCAGCCATGTGCTACATTGTTCTATTGTAACGATTTACGCCTGATATGGTTATTACTGGCACTACTTTTGAGAAAAGTCTCCCCAGCATTCACACTGTAGTCCTGCAATAGGCCTGATGTTCAGAATCAGAATTAACTTTACTGCCCAGCTTCCCACCCCCACGGACTAGGACTTCAACCTCTTCTAAGCTCCACCGGGAGAATACCAAAGTGCTTCCTGGCCAGTTGAGAGGTGCAACCTCTGCAGCGTGTCCTGGGTCTGCCCCGGGGCCTCCTCCCGGTTGGACATGCCTGAAACACCTCCCCGGGGAGCCGTCCAGGAGGCATCCTAGATAGACGTCCGAACCGCCTCAGCTGGCTCCTTTCGATGCAGAGCAATAGCTGCACTGTGAGCCCCTCCCGATATCCGAGTTCCTCAGCCTTCCTCTAAGGCTGAACCCAGACACCCTGCAAACGAAGATCATTTCTGCTGCTTGTATCTGCTACTTCTCGATCACTATTCGGAGCTTGTGACCAGAGGTGAGGATAGGAACATTGATGGAAATGTAAATTGATAGCTTCACCTTTTAATTCAGCTCCTCTTCACCACGACAGACCACTGCAATATCTGCATAGCTGTCAATACTGCATCAATCTGCCAGTCGATCTCCCACTGCCAGTCGATCTCCCACTGCCAGTCGATCTCCCACTGCCAGTCGATCTCCCACTGCATTCTTCCCTCACTTGTGAACAAGACCCCCAGATATTTGAACTCCTCTACTTAAGGCACACATTTCCAACCCTTGCTGTGGCGAATGAGTGGCAGGTATACAGGGACCAGTGCACTGGGTTCAGTGGGAGCAGTAACATGAAAGTAGACCTGACCACAGACCTGGGTTACAAGGTGGTCCTTCCTTTTACTGAATTGAATCAAATATACAGGGTGGCAAAATGGAAAGAAGAAAAACACAGTGATTTGAAGGGAAGTACAGTAAGTATATGGATAATTTTTCCTTCAGGGTAAGTAACCCAGGTAAGTAGATATATATGGACAGTATATTTAGGTATTAGGTGAGTGTATTTTATGTTTATGTATATTATAATTTTATAACTAGTTGCTGCTATCAGTTATATTTTTACTGACATTATTCCTAGTCTTACACTTTAATTATATTTAAATTTAATTCCTCTATACTTTTGTCACTATGTATTTACTTTAGGTTTCGGCTATGGTCATCCTTCTCTTTCCTCCACTCCAATTAACTTATTTATA